AAATACACATGGATTAATGGATGACAAAAATATCACAATAAAAATAGATAAATTCAAATTATGTATTTGGATACAAATAAGTATCAAAATTAAATACTTAATAACCCTACATTTTGTAATGTGTACTTTTTGTCAAATAAGTCTAATTTGGTGTACCTCTACAATTTACCCTAAAAAATTTAAATTTTATTGCAAACAGAATTCCCATTACTGTGGGCTGCTGGTTGGCCCGTTAAGGGCCCCTTTTGTCTCATAGAGAGACTAAGTCTTTCCAACAGGCTGGCCCGAGTCTGGCTGTTGACAACTGACAAGACAAAGATCCAGGAACCAGGCCCATGATGGCTCCGGCCCGGCCCCTTGCCGACGGTTAATGTTACCTGGGAATTAGATAAATGAAAATACGAAATGTAAATTACGGTTTCACCGTATCAGCAGTGGGCAAGGGAGCTCAATAGTAATATTATTTAGACATAAAAATTTGATTTAATTTGTTGACATAGTGATGTGGCTTCATAAAAATTATTGGATCAACACTAAGTTTCAATATTTGATGGGGTCTACAGTGAATCCAAATGTCACAGTGAATTAGGTCAACAAATTATATTAATAAATTAGGTTCCAATAGCATTGCTCTAATATTAAATAACTACGCATTCATTCGATATATAGTCACCTTTACATAAAGAAATGAGATACATTTTATTCAATTTTTAACTTTTATATCACGTGATATTATTAGGACCTTAGAAGTGTCAAAATATGACACGACTTGTTAACACAACACGAACACTACAAAAAATTAGAGGGTTTGAACCTCTTTTATGTCACTCATTTATTAAAGGAGAGGACCTGACACAATACGACTAATAACACATGTCAAGTATGAGTGAAATCAATTAAAAAAAATATATACGATATAACTCTTTTACATGTTTATTAACAATGCACCACGAGCGTTGTATGTAAATAGTTTTTATACACAAAAATTAATAAAATATATTGAGTATATGTGTATCTGAATTAAATATCATCTCAAATTTACCAAATTTAATTTTTTATTGATCATATTCTATTATAATTATGAAAACTTTGTATGTTCCCAAAATTCTTTATTCTAACTATTAACAAAAAGATTAAAAAAAAAAAAAAGAAATAGTTAAATTTCTATTAAAAAGATATAATTAAAGTTCTATTTTTTTAGAATTTTGTGATTGAAATTGATTTTTTAGTGATGCTTAATAAAAATTTAAATTTTTTGAAATTCATTTGATTAATATTTCACTTATAATTCCTTAAATAAAATAAAAGTAATTACCAATATATATCTTAAACATGTTAGAACCCTACTATAGTTCGGAATTAGTTATGTCAAGTGGGATAAGATTTAATATACTAATCTATAATATATATTATCAAGCATATTAAAATTCTAAAAAATTCAAGTTTTACTTAAAAATATACTACAATATTTATTTTTACATCAAATCTTAGTACAACTTAGAAAATTTATTGTGACTGAATAATTAAACTGATATTACATAAATTGATTTTAAAAAACTATATATACTATTATTTTTTATCTTGAAAATGAAAGAGTTAAACTTTTTAATAAAAAAGATAATAAATATATGTAGGCATACTGCTATCTTTGCATATGAGATAAGTAATATTAAATTAATAGAGTTTTCAAAGATATTTTGAACGCTTTATTAAAAATATAATAAAGCATATTTTTTAAGGGTAGTATAGTCAATTAAAAATTTTATAAAAATTGATATTTTTAAATAAAAAATAGATAATTAAAAGAGATGTTATACATAATTTGAAGATTTAAATATATAAAGATATGATAGTAATTTAGATATTTAATAATAAAACAATACAGTAGTATTTTCAATCTTTTATAAATATGAAATAGAGATTCAAAATTTTTTCATCTTAAGGTTCTTTTATTAATAGTATAGATTATAATACGATTAATATACAAAATAAATTCAGATATGAATTAATAAATAAATTAAATATGTATACATATATAATATTTTTAACACGGATTTTATAATATTCGACACGAACCCATCGCATTCGATGGACGATTAACTGGTATAGACACGTTGACATGGTTAAGCCTTTACAAACAATATTTCCAGCTGGAGCTATAAAGGTGACGTGACATGAGTTCCACGTGACCACGGTACGCGATCGTCTATTCCTTCTCCTGAGAGGTGTCTGCCACGCGTATTGTCGACGCGTTTTAACTCAACCTCGTTAAATACCAAAACAGCCCACGCACTGTCCAGTCGTCGAATTTTATTCTCTCTTCCAGCTTTGGTTGGATCAAAAGCGTCACGACGAAACTGTCAAATATAGAAAGAGAAAAAAAAATATATTATATATATATATATATATATATATATATTTATTCGAAGTAAGAAAATCACTTATACAACACACCTTGTCGACTCTTACCTTCTCCAACCCAACCCTATCCTTTGGAGATTATAATTGAAAATCAATCTCTAAAAAACCCTAGATCTTCATAGTGCCGGAGGTTGTTCGTCGGTTCATTGTTTGTTGAAAAAGATTTGGATTTTGAATTGGGAGTTAGGGTTTTGTTTTGATGGAGCCTCGTATTGGGAACAAGTTTCGGTTGGGTCGGAAGATTGGCAGTGGATCGTTTGGGGAGATCTATCTTGGTTTGTACTTGAATTTGTGGTCTTCATTTTTGTGCATGTATTGGTGTATTTTCGTGTGAATTGATTGATTTGGGGGTTTGTTTTCCAGGGACTAATATTCAGACCAATGAAGAGGTTGCAATTAAGCTCGTAAGTTTTCTTTTTTTTTTTTTTTTTTTTTCCTTTTTGAAAAATCTTTTAACTGATTGATTTACTCTTTATTTCGGAGTTATTTCGATGTGGTTCTTGGTTCATGGATTGACTCAAATGTTACCAATACGATTGAATAATTTATTGATGGCATGTCCCAAAGGGGTTGAATTTTCTATTTTCAGGCAGTAAAGCTTTGATTTTAGCATGCCAATCCGTGACTTGGTTTAATGGGACTGTAGTAGATTGTTGATCATTTAAGCTCGAGATGGAGCATTGAACTGTCTTTGTTAATGCCTGTTGTGGTTGTTGTGCGTTAGTGGAAAATGAGAACTCCCATTATTGTGCTTTTTACTGTAGAGAAATTTTATGGGTCACAGTTCTTTTTTTCGCCGACATGCTAAAATTTGATTTTCAGAGGTTAAATATGGAATTGATTGAAGTTGCTAATTTTTGTGGAAGTTAACTAATGTGGTGTTTTGAATTAGTTTAGTGTTTAGCAACTGTTAGCATTCTCATTATAGATTTAAATGGTCTGAAATTAATATCAATTGCCAAACAGGATGTTCTTTTCTTGTAAAAGCCTCATAATATATCTGTTGGTTGCTTTGATATGCGTGAATGTGCTTGCTGGGATAACGTCAATGTCAACTGTGCTGTAGAAATTAATTGTGATTACTGGCAGTGATCAAGTCATTCTGAGGGTTAAAATGCTGATACTGTTTCAAACATCCTTAGGAAAGTATCAAGACAAAGCATCCTCAGTTGCTGTATGAGTCGAAGTTATACAGAATTCTACAGGGAGGAAGTAATGATTTGTTTTTATTCATTGCATTGTTCTAGTTCTTTTATAAATTGCTTGATATATGTAATAGGGTTCTTATTGCNTTATACAGAATTCTACAGGGAGGAAGTAATGATTTGTTTTTATTCATTGCATTGTTGTAGTTCTTTTATAAATTGCTTGATATATGTAATAGGGTTCTTATTGCAATACTTCTAATAATTGCAGCTGGAATTCCTAACTTGAGATGGTTTGGTGTGGAAGGAGACTATAATGTTCTAGTGATGGATTTACTTGGACCTAGTCTTGAAGATCTATTCAATTTTTGCAGTAGGAAACTTTCTTTGAAGACAGTTCTCATGCTTGCAGATCAAATGGTTATTCTTTAACTTGATGTGTATTTTTGTAGCAGTTGTGTAGCTTTATAAATTTATGCCTACGGGGATGCTTTTTCAGATCAATCGTGTTGAATTTGTCCATTCTAAATCATTTTTACATCGGGATATCAAGCCGGACAATTTTCTTATGGGCTTGGGACGGCGTGCAAACCAGGTTTTTATTAAATTTTGCATCTTTGCTTTCAGTCTGAACATTCTGTCGTTACATGTCCATGTCAATGAGATATGATTGTTTTTATTGTAATTCAGGTATACATCATTGACTTTGGTTTGGCTAAGAAATATAGGGACTCCTCAACCCATCAACACATTCCTTATAGGTGAGAGAATTGTTGATTATCTTATAATTGGTAGACACAATTTTGTTCATGCATATGGATGTTTCAATGTGTAATTGGCAGTCGGTTGGAGTGGGATCATTTTTTATATTCTTCTCAGAGAATGTTTGGACCTTTTGAGAAGATGTATTTGAGGCNATAATTGGTAGACACAATTTTGTTCATGCATATGGATGTTTCAATGTGTAATTGGCTGTCGGTTGGAGTGGGATCATTTTTTATATTCTTCTCAGAGAATGTTTGGACCTTTTGAGAAGATGTATTTGAGACATTTTTTGGGGGGATGTTTTTACTTTTAGAATGTATAGGATATTATGATTTAGAATGAACAATGAACGAGTTTTTTGTAAATTTTGCTGAACTGGCTTTATATTGTTCTTTCTCATGGTTTTGTTTGTTTCCAATCATCAACTAGTTGTGAGGGTGTCACTTAGCATCAGTGGAGTTGGGCTTGGACTCCTTTATATTTTGTTTGCTAAGAGGAACACTTAGCATGTGTAATGTTTCTATTGAAGATAAACAAGGTTGTATTGCCTTCAAAGTCTTGTATGGACGCCACATCGAACCTAGCTTTGCATCTGTATATTGGTTCTTTGAATTTATCCNTATATATATATATATATATATATATTTATTCGAAGTAAGAAAATCACTTATACAACACACCTTGTCGACTCTTACCTTCTCCAACCCAACCCTATCCTTTGGAGATTATAATTGAAAATCAATCTCTAAAAAACCCTAGATCTTCATAGTGCCGGAGGTTGTTCGTCGGTTCATTGTTTGTTGAAAAAGATTTGGATTTTGAATTGGGAGTTAGGGTTTTGTTTTGATGGAGCCTCGTATTGGGAACAAGTTTCGGTTGGGTCGGAAGATTGGCAGTGGATCGTTTGGGGAGATCTATCTTGGTTTGTACTTGAATTTGTGGTCTTCATTTTTGTGCATGTATTGGTGTATTTTCGTGTGAATTGATTGATTTGGGGGTTTGTTTTCCAGGGACTAATATTCAGACCAATGAAGAGGTTGCAATTAAGCTCGTAAGTTTTCTTTTTTTTTTTTTTTTTTTTCCTTTTTGAAAAATCTTTTAACTGATTGATTTACTCTTTATTTCGGAGTTATTTCGATGTGGTTCTTGGTTCATGGATTGACTCAAATGTTACCAATACGATTGAATAATTTATTGATGGCATGTCCCAAAGGGGTTGAATTTTCTATTTTCAGGCAGTAAAGCTTTGATTTTAGCATGCCAATCCGTGACTTGGTTTAATGGGACTGTAGTAGATTGTTGATCATTTAAGCTCGAGATGGAGCATTGAACTGTCTTTGTTAATGCCTGTTGTGGTTGTTGTGCGTTAGTGGAAAATGAGAACTCCCATTATTGTGCTTTTTACTGTAGAGAAATTTTATGGGTCAACAGTTCTTTTTTTCGCCGACATGCTAAAATTTGATTTTCAGAGGTTAAATATGGAATTGATTGAAGTTGCTAATTTTTGTGGAAGTTAACTAATGTGGTGTTTTGAATTAGTTTAGTGTTTAGCAACTGTTAGCATTCTCATTATAGATTTAAATGGTCTGAAATTAATATCAATTGCCAAACAGGATGTTCTTTACTTGTAAAAGCCTCATAATATATCTGTTGGTTGCTTTGATATGCGTGAATGTGCTTGCTGGGATAACGTCAATGTCAACTGTGCTGTAGAAATTAATTGTGATTACTGGCAGTGATCAAGTCATTCTGAGGGTTAAAATGCTGATACTGTTTCAAACATCCTTAGGAAAGTATCAAGACAAAGCATCCTCAGTTGCTGTATGAGTCGAAGTTATACAGAATTCTACAGGGAGGAAGTAATGATTTGTTTTTATTCATTGCATTGTTGTAGTTCTTTTATAAATTGCTTGATATATGTAATAGGGTTCTTATTGCAATACTTCTAATAATTGCAGCTGGAATTCCTAACTTGAGATGGTTTGGTGTGGAAGGAGACTATAATGTTCTAGTGATGGATTTACTTGGACCTAGTCTTGAAGATCTATTCAATTTTTGCAGTAGGAAACTTTCTTTGAAGACAGTTCTCATGCTTGCAGATCAAATGGTTATTCTTTAACTTGATGTGTATTTTTGTAGCAGTTGTGTAGCTTTATAAATTTATGCCTACGGGGATGCTTTTTCAGATCAATCGTGTTGAATTTGTCCATTCTAAATCATTTTTACATCGGGATATCAAGCCGGACAATTTTCTTATGGGCTTGGGACGGCGTGCAAACCAGGTTTTTATTAAATTTTGCATCTTTGCTTTCAGTCTGAACATTCTGTCGTTACATGTCCATGTCAATGAGATATGATTGTTTTTATTGTAATTCAGGTATACATCATTGACTTTGGTTTGGCTAAGAAATATAGGGACTCCTCAACCCATCAACACATTCCTTATAGGTGAGAGAATTGTTGATTATCTTATAATTGGTAGACACAATTTTGTTCATGCATATGGATGTTTCAATGTGTAATTGGCTGTCGGTTGGAGTGGGATCATTTTTTATATTCTTCTCAGAGAATGTTTGGACCTTTTGAGAAGATGTATTTGAGACATTTTTTGGGGGGATGTTTTTACTTTTAGAATGTATAGGATATTATGATTTAGAATGAACAATGAACGAGTTTTTTGTAAATTTTGCTGAACTGGCTTTATATTGTTCTTTCTCATGGTTTTGTTTGTTTCCAATCATCAACTAGTTGTGAGGGTGTCACTTAGCATCAGTGGAGTTGGGCTTGGACTCCTTTATATTTTGTTTGCTAAGAGGAACACTTAGCATGTGTAATGTTTCTATTGAAGATAAACAAGGTTGTATTGCCTTCAAAGTCTTGTATGGACGCCACATCGAACCTAGCTTTGCATCTGTATATTGGTTCTTTGAATTTATCCTTTTAATAATTGGCTGTTGCAAAGATTAATTGACCAAAAACACAAGAGGAAACCTTAGTTTCCATTGATTTTGATAATCAATGGCACCATGTTCTCAAAACTTGTTACATTGGCATATATGTCACATATTTTTTGCTAGTGCATCTCCTGTCTGCTTTAGTGTCTTTGGGAATCTATGTGATCAAGGAGTCTTCTTAGTATCTTTGAACCATTGTGTACATTCAATGCTGCGGAGAAGTTTTTCATAGATGACCATGAACTCCCTGCAGAGAGAATAAGAACTTGACTGGAACTGCAAGATATGCAAGCATGAACACTCACCTTGGTATAGGTATGTGTTCCTCTTTTTTGCATCTTCATTTTCCCGAATTATGCACGTTAATGAATTGGATAAGCTTTTTTTTAAAATATTAGCTTTCTTCTTTCTAATTGTTTGTGGATCACATAGAACAAAGCAGGAGGGATGATTTGGAATCTCTTGGATATGTCCTTATGTACTTTCTACGAGGAAGGTGATTGCTGCTGTTGCATACCTCGTTTTTCTTTGGCTCTTAGTGATAGCTGTTGATTTTATGTGGTCATCTATTGCCTGTGTAGTCTTCCTTGGCAGGGACTGAAAGCAGGAACAAAGAAACAGAAATATGAGAAGATTAGTGAAAGAAAAGTTTCAACATCTATTGAGGTAACTAATTATCTCGGTGATTGGATGTCTACTTTTTGCATTCACCTATATGGAAGTATGACTGGAATTTATTGCTTTCTCAGGCCTTGTGTCGGGGTTTTCCTATGGAATTTGCTTCATACTTCCATTACTGTCGCTCACTGAGGTTTGAGGATAAGCCAGATTATGCTTATCTGAAAAGAATATTTCGTGACCTCTTTATCCGTGAAGGTTTGCTTATATTCTCAGAGAATATTCATAACTTCGTAGTTGATATTCTTATGCTGTTGTGTTCTGCAGCTTTTAGAAAAACAAGTTAGCATTGATGTTTCATAATTAAATTCCCTGACAGGCTTCCAGTTTGATTATGTTTTTGACTGGACCATTTTGAAGTATCAGCAATCACAGATTGCTGCTCCTTCCCGGCCTGTGGTTAGTTATATAACTCGATGAGTTTCCTTCTGTTGGTCATTTCAACATAGAAAATTTACTTGTTATTTATTTTCTATTAGGGCCCAACTGCTGGAACTAGCTCTGGAATGCCCCCTGCTATTCCCAATGTAGATCGACAGTCAGGTAGGTCTCGTAGATTGCTTCTTGGTGCAAGTGTTTTTTACTTGTAATGAATTTATCCTTGACAAAACATTACGTGGAATTCATATTATTTGAGCCGTTAACATCATTGCAGGTGAGGAAGAAGGGAGACCAGCTGGTTTGTCTTCAGCGGATCCATCTCGTCGGAGAAGTTCTGGACAAGCTATAAATGCAGGAAGTTTTTCTAAGCAGAAGAGTCCAGTTGCAAATGATTCAACAATGAGCAAAGACGCTATGGTTAGTTATATGAATTACATAATATAAGCTAAAGCTTTTGTGGAAGTTTGGTAATTTAGTTCTACTGTGATGGCATCTTGAATGCCCCATGCCCATTCAAGATGCATTTTTCTGGAGTCTGAAGGAAATACCCAGGTGCAGCCTTCCCCAAACCCATACAGGGTTTAGAAGCCGAGTTTCCCAGAAATTTTTGGGAATCCCAGCAGTAAGTGGGGATATAACATCAACTAGTAAAGATGGTATCCAGGATGATACTTTCTTCTGGTATGCTGATAATGACTCTATGCCTGTTCTCTGATAATGTAATTCACTATATAATGCCCTATTCTTGGATCCTGTAGTTATCAAGCTCCACTATTGTGGGACGATCAAGCGGGTCGTTGAGGCGAACTACTGCCTCTGGTAGCCGTGATGCATTTACAGTGGGGAATGAATCTGACCCGTCACGCTCTCGTACGACTGACGCAAGTCCAGGAACAGTACACAAGATCTCAAGTGGGCAGAGAAGTTCATTACTTGGTGGTTCCTCGGACCCCAAGCATGCTTCATCTAGCAAGAATAATTCTGGCATGAAGAACTATGAAACCACTCTCAAGGGCATTGATAGTCTGCGTTTTGATGAGGAAGGCTCAGAGAGGGTTCACTATTGATTGTTGTAAATCATCAATGACTGTTGCTTATCTTTTCACATTCTTGTAAATCATAGACCTGTTTGCTAAACATCAGGTAGAATTTGTCAGCTTCATGGAGTTTTTGGTGGGAAGCTGTGGATTAAAACCAAGGAACTCTGGGTTTCTTGGCGCTCTAAAAGATCAATAAGGAGGAAAGAACCAAGACGAGCGGCAGAGTCTCCACATCAATATCAAGATGAGGCGGCATTGTCTCTATAGACTTGAGTCATGTTGGCATGGCTTCCTTATTATGTTTACCCTTGAACCCCCATCATTGACAATCTATGTGTTTTTAGTGTTGGGGGTTAGAGCAATGTCCTAACTGTAAATTGGCTGATTCTATGCATAAATTTCTATTTCACTTTTGATTTTCATGCCGAACCATAAATTTCAGAAATGTGGCATGGAGAGAGTTTTTGGCTTCACTTAGAAGTTCCAAAAACCTAAATGGTAAATATAACTGTACTATATATTGATCAAAGCTCTGCTATGCAACTGATTTTGATCGGATTCAGATTCGGATATGATCCAAACGTTTTTTAAGTGGAAGTTGAAGTAAATTGTATTGAGCAGGATTGACCCATTGTGGTTTGTAAGAGCATACAATGTGAGATTGAATATGTATGAGGAGTACAACCATGACTAAGGATTTGGGTAAAATCTCATTCAGGAGAGTAGTAGAACCATGACTAACGAGGAAATGGGCTGGTATGTGTTATAATTTTTATGGGAATGAATCGAATATGTTATTTGAGAGTTGCTCAGGAATTTATTGAGAATGACTTTGTCAAGTTGTTGGGGGCTACTCTTCGTTTTTGTCGATTGAGCTGTTTTCCCTCATTCCACTCGTCCAGCCGTCTTACGGACTTGTACAATCAATGCCACAAATGATCAAAACATATCCATTTTCAAAGACACTAAAAAGTATCATTGATTGAATATCGAATTCCATATGTTTTGATTCTTTCGGAATGTTTCGAGTTGTTTTAACCAACGCTATGAAATATTTCACAAAAATTTTCTAATATTTTCTGTGTTTCCATTCCATTACCAAAACATTTACGAAATGTTTCTATTTCCCAATTGATCGAAATAGCACACTAAAATAAAATTTTGTTCCTTACCCACATATTCAGAATGGAATAATGCAATTTCATATGTTTTTGGATAAACCACCCAGTGAAAAAAAAAAACAAAAAAGTAGGTCATAAATCAAACAAAAATGGGGGCAGTGTGGCATTACTCTGCTGCTTCTCCTGACATGCCTCAAGTAATTACATTCTCCAGTGCAGCAGTTCAAGCAAAGCCCTTGATTTCATAAGCAAATCTGATCCCATTTTCCAAAAACATGACAAAAACTGCTATAAACTTGAAGAACAAAGAGCAGCAATAGTATAGAACCTGAATTAAGAAGCAAATACTACTGTATTGGGAAAAAAAATTCATTGTCCTACCAAAAAGATACCATTGGTAAAAGTTAAGAAATACTTTACAAATGACAAGTTATATGAATAATATATCAAAATATTTCATGATCGAACATAAATAATCTCAATTAGTTATAACTTTACTTTTAAAAGGTGTAACTTGATTTCTCAAAATTATACTTTTCATAATCAATCATAACTCTAAGTTGTAGATGCTCAAAATATTATAACTTTTGATATGATACCTCTTTTGGTTTATAGACGTCCTCGAATTCAGAAGTGGCCAATGAACTATGAATAACATCAGCAACCACATCTTTTTGTAATAATGAATTGCTGCAGACTTTTATATGGAAAAACTAGACAAGAAGGGGGAGCCATTCACCTAATACACATTATGGGGGAGGAAGAGTCGCACCATGGACCACATATCACAAAACCAAATACACCATAGCACCAGTAAATAACTGGTCATCAGTAAATAATCTACATGCCCAGTTTAAGAACCCAGATTATAATCGTTTTGATTTCATATTTAAGATTATTGGACAGTATATAACTCACAAAACCAAGTACAAATACAAGAAGACAATGAACAAGAACACAGTTGCAATTACAACAATGCCAAAGTATAATCACCTTCAACCATAGACCATTTGTACCTATCCTTGTGTTATTTTCGATTGTGACTTAGACCCTCAAGAAGTTGTGATGGGTACATTCTAATTTTTGGTATCGTACCATAATCTTTTTCATTGGTTTTTGTCAAAAAACTAAACAAGAGGAACTCTAAATGGTAGTTCAATTGGTAACAGTGACGAGTTGTAAACCCCAAATATCCCGAATTCGAATCTTGACAATTCTTTGGCTAAAGATTTATCCCTCATAAATATCTTAATTTCGGAGTGAATGGTCTGCCTTTAAAGTAAATATTAANGTAGTTCAATTGGTAACAGTGACGAGTTGTAAACCCCAAATATCCCGAATTCGAATTTTAACAATTCTTTGGCTAAGGCTATGAGAGATTTATCCCACATAAATATCTTAATTTCGGAGTGAATGGTCTGTCTTTAATCGAACCGAAAAAAGGAACTGACTCAATCACAATCACACTTAACCGTTGAACCAAAAAAAAAAAAAAACTAAAATTGGGGAGAGCCATTTAAAAAACGCACTAATTCTGGAGGTAGGAAGTCACACCATGGACCACATGTCACAAAATCAAGTGCACCCTAGCATTAAAAAAACCAATCTCAATCCAATTTCGGACAGTAAAATGCAAAACTAACTATTAAAGTAAATATTCANATGCACTATGGGCATGTTTGTTTCGGAGTTGCAGCAGTATTACAGGGTGGGATAGTTAAAAATTGGACATGTAGCCCACCTATGACTTTGTTTGTTTGGTATTTCACGTGTAGTCTCATTTTTTTTGATCGTAATATGGACCCAGTTTGTATAATAGTCTTCAACTCTTGTATATGGCTTAAATGAATATCACATATCAGGTGATATTATTTGTTAGTATAAATTTAGTAACGGTACAAGCACAAAAAATAAAACAAATACCCTCGTGTGTAAAATTCATATATAAAAAATTTATTTTGAATTTTTTTTTGTATTATATTTAAGTGTACGGTGTCATCGGTTTTTTTTTCTTTAATTTTAAAAAAAAAATTTATTTTGAATTTTTTTTTATATTATGTTTAAGGGTACGATTTCACCGATTTTTTTTTTTTAGAGTATCACTGATTCATAACATTAAATTCTTTATTTTTTATGTAGATTTTTTACATTATTCAGAATTTTTTAGGTATGAATTGTTACTAAACATTATGCAAAAATGTTACACAAATAAAGTAATTGAATGGATGATGTTAAGGATAAAATGATATATTTGTTATAGAAGATGTGATAGAATAAATGATTATTTACGAGACCCACTATAGTACTTATTAAACAAACAAATATGGGAAAAGATTAGAATACTTTCTATTACCAGTACTAATTTTCATTGATATTGAAAAATGTATGGAATATATTTTTTAATACCATGCATAGCAATACTCAAAACAAACATGNGAAAAGATTAGAATACTTTCTATTACCAGTACTAATTTTCATTGATATTGAAAAATGTATGGAATATATTTTTTAATACCATGCATAGCAATACTCAAAACAAACATGCCCTATATATATAAAAAAAGGAAGTGTGGATTAACAGAGTAATTTGATATTGTAGAATTTGTTGGTTGAGTGTCTAGAGGAAATAATATTTTTTTAGCAAGAAAAAAAATAAAGAGAAATTTTGTATCATTAGATATAAGTAGATAAAAATTAGATCAATTTTAACCATTATTATGTTTTTATAAATTGAAAATTAAAATTTTTAACTGTAATATTAGATAAATTACAGCAATAAGTGATTGTAACAAAATCCTGTTCTTATTTGTATACTATTTGGTAGATATTATTGTCATAGGGAATTTTTTTGTCTGCAAGAATAAGATTGCACAAATTTGGCATATTAATATTACTCCTATCAAAATAAATGATTATCTCATATTCTTTGGAGATAAAAAAAATTAAATTCATTTAAATTCATCAAAAAAATATTTTCAAAAAATATATTTATAATAAGAGACGAAAACCTTCTACAGACAAGAGCTTTTATAATGAATATGACCCTTTTTTTTAATCGTTATCAATAGTACCCATTTTGGCACTTTATGGATAAATTGTCAATCCCTAAAATAGATTATCGGTTATAATATGTATTTTAGTAGAGAACAACGTCCCTATCAACATGCGATACCTGTTAGAAGACTAGAAATATAACATTACAGAATGTTTAACATTAATTATTTACAATTTCTCTCTCAAAAAGTAAACTAATAAATCAAATTGTACACATTTGTGTATTGTCCATGACGGTCAAATATAATTACAACAAAAAATTTCTGACGCACTAAATTAATAAGGTTACAATTCACAAGGACAATGAATCGTGGCCATGGTGGATGCGTATTGGAAGTAGCATGATATAGGCAGATGCACTACAAATCCAGAGCTCCTCCGTTAATGAACGACTTCTATTTGACCAACATCTAGTTTGCGTTCACTTGTCTATTCATCAAGTCGTGGTAATAAAGCAGCACACACATAGGTTGACCGACAATGCTGAAAAAGCACCAGAACACCATATTTCCAACCTGGCAACAAAATTAGAAACAAAAATAGTCAATTTTAGCTTCCTGGTGATGCATGGTTACTGTAAGCAATCACGCCATTGTGGTGGATGGAACTTAAAAGATGGTGATAATTCAGATGTTAGCTGCTAGTTCCAACTTCCAATCTGTGGTTCAACCATAAGGTAATTTTGAAGGTGCGTTGGAACATCGCTCATAATGGCCACTAACAAGATGTTTTACTTACATGTTGATGTATCATAATCCAAAAGCTCAACCTTCAAAACTTTCCAATTCATTCAAACCAATGAAAAGTTTANAAAGTAGCATGATATAGGCAGATGCACTACAAATCCAGAGCTCCTCCGTTAATGAACGACTCATATTTGACCAACATCTAGTTTGCGTTCACTTGTCTATTCATCAAGTCGTGGTAATAAAGCAGCACACACATAGGTTGACCGACAATGCTGAAAAAGCACCAGAACACCATATTTCCAACCTGGCAACAAAATTAGAAACAAAAATAGTCAATTTTAGCTTCCTGGTGATGCATGGTTACTGTAAGCAATCACGCCATCGTGGTGGATGGAACTTAAAAGATGGTGATAATTCAGATGTTAGCTGCTAGTTCCAACTTCCAATCTGTGGTTCAACCATAAGGTAATTTTGAAGGTGCGTTGGAACATCGCTCATAATGGCCACTAACAAGATGTTTTACTTACATGTTGATGTATCATAATCCAAAAGCTCAACCTTCAAAACTTTCCAATTCATTCAAACCAATGAAAAGTTTATTCCTAGACACAATAGTATAAGATTGTCATTCAGTTAGTGTGGTTAGGATTTTATTCCGCATTTTGCATCGGAAATATCGTCCATGAAAACCCCAACAACACACAAACAAGGCATTGGTCTAAATTTTTATGCACGTCCTATCCCACAGGTAGCTAGCTCATTACTAAGAACTCAGAAAGTCATGCCAACTAAAAGTTCCCTAATGATTCCTCATTCATAGGTCCCTCAAATTCATATAGTCCTATAAATTGCACGCAGATAGTCAAAAGTTTAATACAAGCAGGTTCCATCAAAGTATAGGAAACAGAGACATACCATAGAGCTCCTGAACTTCTCTTGTAGGTAATTAGTGAGAATGACCAAGGGAACCTGATTCAAAAACAACAGAGCTCATAAGCCTCCACTACAGCTTGCAAAACTAATATAACCCGCAATGCAAAATATGCAGAGGAAATCCTTTGCATTTATCAGAGAAAAGCATAAGCACAAGACAGACAGAGCCTAAAACGGTAGTTATCATGTGTCAAACTTCATATTTGGTACCTGTCACAGGGAAGGTGTAAATTTGAGATACAGACATATGGAAGAGAATTACCTGAAACATAATTCCAAAAAATGCCCAAAACTTGAATATGTGGCAGGGAACAGCAACGCATAGCTGCAGGATAGAAAAACAATCACGTCAACTTTCAAGGAGGGAAGCCAATCAGTTTCACATCCGAAATCTGATTACTGTGAAAGTGTGCATATACCTCATGGAAAATGGCAGATACAAGGAAGGAAATCAAAACAGCAACTCCCTGTATCAACAGATAAGTCGAAGTCAAAATGTTATAACAGACTGCAAACAAGGTCCCAATTTTAAGACCGCACCATTAGTATCTTTTTTGCAAACAATACCATCCTCAAAGTAAACTACATAATCTGCACAAAGAAGACTCGTTAGAGAAAGAAGTAACCAAACCAAGCAATTGCATTTGAAGCTTGCTATACCATGTCCTTGCACCCACATGTTCGCCCCACTTTCACTTTTGAGGGAATGTTATAATAAGAGACAATGAATAACTCCAGTAGTTTCACAAAAATTTATGCTCAGCTAAAATATTAGGGCACTAGTTTCACCTGTAATCCCAGAGATATTGGCATTTGTGATAATTCTGCAATTAGGAGATATGGAATCCCACCAAAAATCCTCGTAAAAGAACATGTCATTTGTTCTTTTCAAACACCCCATTTCAGAAATGTTACTTTTCCCTCACATTTTAGGATGTGTTTAAATTGTGCATCAGGAAGATGGGAATTTGGGGTTTAATATACAAGTGAATTGGATACTAAAATTCTTTTTCTTTTTTTTTGGGTTATGGAGAAGATGGAGAAGAGGTGGGAGATTATATCCTATAAGCACCTTGAATCCTTCANCACAAGTGAATTGGATACTAAAATTTTTTTTCTTTTTTTTTGGGTTCTGGAGAAGATGGAGAAGAGGTGGGAGATTATATCCTATAAGCACCTTGAATCCTTCATGGAACGGATTTCAAATAGGTCCCTTCACCTCATGGTTTCAAATCCACCAGTATGCTCTCAAATCCATTCGTGAATCTTGTCAATATCCAAAACCGAGTTGTAAATTCCTTAAACATCTTACAAAAATCCATCAAATCCCGATTCGGCTTACATTTTTTTCATAGTGTAACCATTACCAGGAGGACCAAAAAAAAAGATCTCTAAACACCGCTGAGTTTGAAAATTTAAGTCATTACCTTAGGTATTCCATTCCGTAAGCATGGAAAATAAATATGGCGGACCATCCATTTATGAACAGGCTGTAACCAACAACAATTTCAATCAGTATTGCATTTAATAGCAGAACTTCTTTACTTCACATTTTTTAACAAGGTTCTGAAAATTTCAGTGCAATATTAAATAAAAAGGAATACTCAACATGTGACCATTGAGTAGAGGAACATACCATATTCCACATTCTCCAATACTGATAACAGCAGCCAAACCAGGACATGCATTGAAAACAAATAGTCCACATGTTCAAATTAGTAACTGATAGCCAGAAAACATTTTTTTTTTCCTAAAAAAAGGCCACAACTCAAAGAATATAAGTTCACCTCCTCCACAGTTTTTGCATTCCACCAATCTTTGTAGAACTCACGGTCACCAAAGCAAAGAAGCTCAGCTAGAATATTTAACCTATATTCACAGCAATAAATGTAGGTATGATTAGAGTGATGCAACTAAATAGATGATTAAAAAATAACTGATAGTTCTGTTTATGTTTTGAAGACAAGCCACAAAGGAAGGAGAATATCCAATCTATTCATATTAAGCAACTCAAGTCAACAAAGCATGTGTCCCAATCATTTCGGATCAGCAAAATGCACTTGTTCCATATTTCAGCTTATCTAGAGTCATTATGTATCTACATACTGACAAGTCCTTCCTCCTCACTCAGACCCACATCATGTTTTGTTAATTGTCATCTTCTCATATTTGCAATAACATTTACTCAAATCATGCTGCTGCTTCCTAAAGATATAATATCCAGTTCTCATTATCNTGACAAGTCCTTCCTCCTCACTCAGACCCACATCATGTTTTGTTAATTGTCATCTTCTCATATTTGCAATACCATTTACTCAAATCATGCTGCTGCTTCCTAAAGATATAATATCCAGTTCTCATTATCATTTGACTCAGTTTTAAAACTTTAAAGCTTCAAATGCCTGTAACTTTGTTCAAGAATGTCATTGCATAGCTTTCTTCTTCTCCTCAATTTCTTTGCAATCGGGTTTCTGATTTTTCATTTTCTAATCTTTTCCTTTTCTGGCCCAAAGTTAACTGGATCATGAGTCAATTCAGTAAGTAGTGTGGATATGGAAGATGCAATACTTTCTCTGGTATGCGTGCAAAGGAGTAGACTTAGTACTACTATGTGCAATTATATATGATTATACGTCGACACACANTCTAATCTTTTCCTTTTCTGGCCCAAAGTTAACTGGATCATGAGTCAATTCGGTAAGTAGTGTGGATATGGAAGATGCAATACTTTCTCTGGTATGCGTGCAAAGGAGTAGACTTAGTACTACTATGTGCAATTATATATGATTATACGTCGACACACATAGTTATTAATATTTGTATTACATTTACAATAACATTCCAAAACAAACATAATACAAAACAATCTATTCGCAAAAAGTTGTGAGTAATCAAAGTTAGAAGTCATATATTTGTATTATGGAAAACATTAAATCACAACAAATCAAAAATAAGTTTCAAAATCACCAAAATAAAAAATACTAATGTGGTTACAATTTAGGGTTCCTTAGCGCATAGGTTGTTTTGGAGTTAGGATTACAATTTGAGGTCAAAAATTTGAGCAATCTTGGTCTTCCATTGGAGAAAATAAAGAATTTTCAACAGTGGGATTACACCAAGGATCCGCTTTAAATCCATACCTATTCGCCTAATTATGGATGAACTCACTAGACACATTCAAGATGATGTCCCACGGTGTATACTATTTATAGATGATATTGTATTAGTAGATGAAACTCAAAGGAGGATTAACAATAAGCCTATGAAACACGGATACTTCGTTGAGGTTGACGCACCCGTATCGGATACGATACTCGTCGGATACGTATTGGATACACTTTCTATGTATCCGATAATAATTAAATATTAGAATTCTTCACAAATACTTTTGTAGTAGAACAATATATATAATTTTTTAGTTGAACTTTTAACATCTCTTTTCGAATTCACGTATCATACAATACATTAACAAAAATTTCATATTACTTTAAAGACACGAGTATTTTTTAAGTATTATTTATAATTGCATGTCAAAAGACCATTTAGTAAAACTATTACATTATAATATTGACAAAAATTACTTCTAAATACTATGTAAATATTAGTTTTGATTCCTTTAATTAGTCACTTCACTTTGTGAATATACCACAGCGACACGATATATATTTTCTTGAAACTAAAAAAAATTACTAATTTTCCTTAATATATGTTAAAGAACTATCAAAATATGTAAGTGTTAAGTTGGTTGAAAATAATANATATCATACAATACATTAACAGAAATTTCATATTACTTTAAAGACACGAGTATTTTTTAAGTATTATTTATAATTGCATGTCAAAAGACCATTTAGTAAAGCTATTACATTATAATATTGACAAAAATTACTTCTAAATACTATGTAAATATTAGTTTTGATTCCTTTAATTAGTCACTTCACTTTGTGAATATACCACAGCGACACGATATATATTTTCTTGAAACTAAAAAAAATTACTAATTTTCCTTAATATATGTTAAAGAACTATCAAAATATGTAAGTGTTAAGTTGGTTGAAAATAATAAAAATATTAAATATATTTTATTATAACTGTATCCTGGCCGTACCCGTATCCTACTTTTTTAAATTTTGTTGTATCTCCGTATCCGTATCGTATCATACCCGTATCTTATATCTGTATCCGTACTTTATAGCAACAAGCTAAAAATTTGGAGAGAAACACTCAAGCCGAAAGGATTTAAAATAANTCCGTATCCGTATCGTATCATACCCGTATCTTGTATCTGTATCCGTACTTCATAGCAACAAGCTAAAAATTTGGAGAGAAACACTCAAGCCGAAAGGATTTAAAATAAGTAGGAGTAAGACTGAATATATGTAATGCAATTTTATTAATAGAAGGAGTACTTATAGTGAAAAAGTTAAGATTGAAAATCAAGAAATACCAACGAGTAAAAGATTTAAATAGCTAGTATCAATCATTAAAAATGATGTAGAGATTGGAGATGATGCAATTCATAGAATCAATGCCGATTGGCTTAAGTGGAGGAAAACCTCTAACATATTATGTGATAGAAGGATGCCAATAAAATTAAAAAATAAGTTTTACCAAATAGCTATAAAGACAACAATGTTGTATGGGACAGAATGTTGGACAACTAGAAAACAACATAGTGACAAAATGATTGTAGAGGAAATAAGAATACTAAGGTGGATGTGTAACAAAACTAAAAAGGATAGTATAGAAATGATCGTACTAAAAAAATGGTAGGAGTAGTTCCAATTGAAGATAAGTTAAGAGAGAATAGATTAAGATACTTTTGTCATATTCAATAGAGGCCGATAGAGGAACCAGTTCGAAAAAGTGATAGAATTTTTCTTAATAATACTAAAAATAGAGATAAATCTAAATTAACATTGAATGAAATAATAATAAAAGATATGAAAATATTTAATTTAAATGAGCGTATAGAGTATGATCGAAATGAATGACAAAAACAGACTCATAAAGTCGATCCCAAATGATTGGTACATAAGACTTGGTTTGATTTGGTTAACTCACGAGTCCAACCTATCTGGGCATCATGGAAAATGAGGTTGGGGCATCGCGGGAAATGAGGTACCTAAAATCCTTGTATCCTTCTTCCACGTCCAGCCATTCAATTTTTACCCTCCAACAGAGTAAGAGTTTAAGACTAAAGCTTTTCCTTGAGGGTTTGATTCATGGATGAAAGCAATTTAAATCTTCGGAAGACAGTTCATTGCAAACTGTCATGCAAATCTACAGCTTTCCATGAGAGCGGCTTCTGAAAACTAACATTGAGGGCTAAGCCAAAACATAATACCAGTTAGAGAGTGTTCTTCAATGGATTCTTCTTCTCTTCATCCTTATTTTCTACTCTTACCATGTTACCATCAATCCATCTCAAAACTTTCATGATGGTAGAGTTTGCAACATTATCCAAATTGCCTTCTAACTCATATAGATCACAGGTGGTTTCCAGAATAAACTTTTCAAAATTTGGGTTCATACACAAGAAATGAAATTATGTTGAAACATGCATAGTATCCAAACTGAGCATCGTAATTGTGAAACAGTATTTCTGTTATGCAACATTGCATGATAATGCTGGAAAAAGATATGAAAAACCTCGCAAACAAGTTGATGGAAGATTAAGCATATTGAAGACTTTACTAGACTAAATCAAAGAAGAGAGCACAAACCATAGGTGAAAGAAGCAGTAAAACATGCAGAGCCACACGTATAAATTTGGAACTGAAAGCTTCAAAACCCTCTCTATGGCATATAAAAGGTTCCCTTTCAAAGGATGCTGGGAATGCTGAACAATCGGATTAATGTACTGTTTGACAATACAAAATTACCTGTGTCAGAATTACTGTACTAATTAGAGTAAAAATGGAAATGCTTATAGGCCTTACTTTATAACAAAGGAGCTTACTTGTTCTATGATAAATCCCATCAGTCCCGTAAATATCACATACTTGACGAGTTGACGTACTACCCAACCCTTACGAACACATGCAGTGCGGGGATAGCTCGGCTAGAAATCATAATGGACAATATGAATACAACAGAGCGCACTCCATTGACTAAAAATTAATAAATGAATGGTGTAATCATCCTACTGAATTCATTCCATATGTCAAGCACAAGTGCAGAATCAGAAGCAAAATATCGATAATTCAATGCACCTGGGTACCGAAGGTCATTATAATTATTATAATCACAAGTGTACAGTCTAACTTTTAAGAAATGTAAGGAGTACACCTCACAAGAAAGTGCTGAAACAAATGAGTAGTACTCCTCCAACAAGAGGGAGGAAGAGGCAAATTTAAGGAGATCACACACATGAAATAAATGAAAATAAATCATTCCCACACATATCCATTTGCAGAAAACAAACAGTATGCAAAGCANAAGAGGGAGGAAGAGGCAAATTTAAGGAGATCACACACATGAAATAAACGAAAATAAATCATTCCCACACATATCCATTTGCAGAAAACAAACAGTATGCAAAGCAACATACCTAAAAAAAGTAGAGGTACACAAACATCTAGGATATAATGAGAGAAAAAATGTGATGGGATGACTATGGATGTGCAGGACAGTTTCAACTTTCAAGTGTTTAAATATGCTGTCTATCTTGCACCGAGCTGTACTCGGCTTATGATAAACTATAGGCTTCATCAGTTCCTCGACTGCATATTTCGGCTGCTGTATTGATATCTTTCGGCATCTTGAGATTTATAACATATATGCCATTCATATGTCACACTTGAAATAGGAATGAAGAAATTTTTTTGAAGAGCTTTAAATCAGAAGAAACCAAATACCAGCTGTCTCAAAAATAATTGACCAAACCATACGTAAATAAATAATGTCTCCAACTAGTAAACCAACATTGCCACTATATAAAGGTGTACAACTCGGTAAGGGTATCAAATATTTAGAGAGCTGAACAAAAAATCGAAATCCATCAGATAGCAAATAGATGAGATTGGAAAGGTTTAAGAATTGGAATCATCTTAAGGTAAACACAAGGAATAGGCCTCCACAATGAGAATATCTTCAAATCAACTCTAAAAAACTAGGGGCAGCTAACCGATATTCAAAAAGGTCAGGCCTTATCCTAGATAAGCCCATTCCCTTGTCCCAACTATTTGGACTCTGCTAAATGAACCCTGTTCCACAATCGTGCTCTTCTTAGGGCATGTTTTCTAGCAAAACAATAGGCTACCATATTATGATTTATGATCTCAATTAATATTATTGTTTGCCTGCCAAAAACTTCAGTTTTTAGTTAAAAGAGTAGTTTACATTTCAAACCATCTTCCAATTTTGGAAATTTAACAGGAAACTGGTTTGCACTTTATAGCAAGAAAAAAATTGGTTCTTTTGACATTAGGCCATATTAGTTGATGGTATTCCTAATTGGGATTTGGAATGGGTATCTTATCCCAAGGAAAGGGATACTCGGGTTTCAATTACCATTGTAGTCTTATATTTATTGTTTGGTTATTACCAGTAATTTAATATGGGAGTTAGTATCATAATTACTTTTAGGAATGAATTCAATTTTAGTAAGAGGCTTGATCTTAGGAAGAGGTTTTTATCTCAAGAATGAATTGATTTTAAAAAGGAGCTTTATTTTGGATTTTTTATTTCTTTTTTAGAGCATGCAATCAAGGTGGTTATGAGATTACCACCATTGACTATGGGTTTACAATACTTATCATCATTGTCAATTGGCTGACATTCCAAACATGGTAATACACAATTTACAAATGCAATTCTCATTCTCGTTACCACCATCCAAACGGAGTCTTTGGGTAATTGTTATTATGCTCTTCAACTCCCCGGATGTTGTTAAATCACCAACTTATTTAAAAGCTTAACGTATTAGCAAGAATATTATGTAAGAGGTCATATAATTTAACATGTCCCTTCATGCGCTGGCGCACGTGTATTCTTTTAATTATCAAGGTGGCAGTCAAATTCAAACAGAGGACCTCCTGCTCGTATTCTATGTTAAATCACTAACTCATCTAACAAGTTAAGGTAATAGAGATGGTTTAACAAAAGTATTTACATATTTCAACAGAAGCAATCATTAGTCTATCATTTTATGCAATCATCATTTGTCATTTTTGCTAATAATGATGCATAAGCTACTTCTCAATGCAACTTGCTCTTGGTATATAAACAGATTTACTAAATAATAAAGAAAGATCTCATAATTACAGCTGTATGAGCATATTTGTATTTTCAGAGTATGAACACATGAGTAAAACGTTCCTGTAATATTCATGAAGGACTGGAGTCAGCTTACTTGGTAACACAACGTGGGAGCAACCATAAAGTATGCCATGCTCTTGAACCCAACATTGTAAGAGTAATCCATATTAAAGGAACTGGACAAGGCTTCCCCCTAACGTCATAGCAGGAGTTTAGCAAAACAGTAAAAAATCACAACTGAATCATTCGATCCAATAGATTGTTACATAACTTTGATAATTTACTCTTTTTTTTTTTTTTTGGGGGGGGGGGGGGGGAGAGCATTACGCATGAAGAAAATTCAGGGCAAGACGATGATAGAAAGAACTTTGGAAGCGAGAATTAAACTTTTCTACTTTTGGTAAGGGTATGGAACTACAATTAAAATAATACTTAGATATATAAAGTTAAATTCCACAAGATTTGAGTCCATTTCTATGAACATCAAAGGTGAATAGTTTTACTTTTCCCATTGCATAATCCATGATTTTGGCTGCCAGATTTCCTTTTTCCTTATAAAGGTAAAAACAAATGAGTACAATTAATCCTAAAAACAAAGAGAGAGAGAGAGAATTATCATTGTTACCTTATCAAATGATTTCGTAAGCGCTCTCATATCGTAATTTGTATGTGCATAAGATACCAATTTCAACCACACAGTGCAGGCGAAGAGCATTAATGTGACGCCCGATAGGACAGCAGAATCACATCTGCATAATTTTATACCAATATCTGCAAATCTTACAAAGAAACTTTGGAATTCTTTTACATAAATGCAATATTTTACTAGAACCAAAAAAGACAAGTGATTTGCTACTTTTACACATTTCTTCAAAAATTCATATGAAAGGATTTCCTCATTTTGCAATTTGTGCATTCTTTTAGCACCAATATACATTGTTAAGACATCCACCAAGCCATGGATCCAATTAGCATCCCAAAGGCATTACGGGTGAGCACATACCGAGCGCCACCCGGACCGGGTGACCAAAAATCAAAGTCTGAGTTGGGCACCTTGGCCCAAGGGCAAGAGTTTTAGAACAAACAGCTTGCATGGAGAAACTAAACTCAGCTGTGCTTAAAGTTAATATCTCTTAAAGAATTTTTCAAGTAATCGTTCGGTTATAGGCACAAACAACTTCTGGTTGCCAAGGTAGTAAAAGTACAAGGCATATTCTACTAATTAAGGATTTAATTTTACCATGCCCACCTAAGATTTAAATACCGATATGATGCTGTGCATTGACCTAATTACACATTCGCATTCATATTACTTGTTCATCACCAAGTCAGTATATTGGCTACAGTAAACATGTAATGTATGAATTGAATAAATAAATCAAATAAAAAGTGAAAAACTAACCTGAGAATAACAAAAACAGGAAACAAAATTGCAGCAGTGGTTATTATTATGTGAAGAATGACAACAACCTGAAAAATTAGACATGTCAACATCCTTCATGTTTAAAGTCGCAACAGCTTAAGTTGTTATTAATGAATCTGGAGCAAACCACAAGAGTTGGACTTGAATCACTCACTGGATCAGATATATACTTTTGTTGCACCAACTTCTCAACAATAAAAGCAGCAAGTGGGAAAACTGGGATGGTAAGACTGCAGTTGAAACCAGAACAGAAAAGGTGTGTTATTTTCAAAACAGACAATTATATTTTACTCCCATCAACGAGATATGTAGACTACTCTAACCCAAAGGATAGGTATTGATGATTCCAAAAGAAAAATTAGTCCTTGAGTGTGCTGTGTGTTATTGAAGGGGGGTGGGGGGGAGGAGGGGCGATCAGTTACTTTACCAGCACATTAAAAGTGGCCAATCGCTCAATGATCTTGAACTAAACCAAAAATCAGACCTAATTAACCAGCCATACTGCAATAACAATCAGGAGTTTGTCAGCAACAACAATAGGCCCCAAAACATTTTCTTTCAGAAAGGAGTATTGATGTATTAGAAGACTACAACAATGTAATTGAAATAACTGTTATATTAGTGACAGATGGCAATATGTAATGAGAACTCTTGGTGTGTGCACTTGAGATGTTGGCAGCAAATGCACACCCACACATACACAAAGGCTCATCAAATTCCAGTAACTATCCCTCATATAACACAGTGCAATATTTGTATCAGGAGTATACCTTCATCAGATTCTCAATGATAAGTCTACCGTTCACAGCAACAAGCACCACTATACAAAGATTGAAGAGACCTGCATGGCTCTGTCACAAGATGTCAATTAGTAATTATCATCATAAATTTCCTGCAACCTGAAACTAACAAAAATTCAGAACAAAACAATTCCAGAAGACGCGAGTTCCAACTCACAAAGAGTATAGGACGACCTCATGAAAGAGGGCTACAAAGAGCTCTAAAGAGAGAGCCAGAAGCGAAAACAACATAACACTTTATTTTATTTTTTTTGGTACACTGGAAAAACAAAATAACACTGCACTAGAGGACTAAGTGCAATATACATCATCGCCAGGTCTGATTAGTTAAGTTACCATGCAGCAGTGAGTTCCAGCTCGCAGCACAGATTCTAATGTATAATATGTCACAACTACAATGTGATGTAGCTTGAAGCAAGCAAGAAAAGACACTAATTACTCAATTAGGGGACTGAAAAGACGTTAGTTTTCTCAGGCTTTATCCACCAATTCTATATGAAAACAATTGTTACCAAAAGTCTCAGAATCAGAGCATAAATTTCAATTCCTAATCAGCCTCTCAACTCCAAAAGACTAATAAATGCAACCATATCTCACGCGATCACAACTACGTATCTGTTGGCACACGAAAAAAGAAAAAAACAGCGTATTAAACAACGCTAACCTGTTTGAAAATGGCATCGGAGCTAAGAGGACTCTCTTTGATTCTCCGATGAGCCGGAGCAGACGGCCGATAAGAGAATTTCGAAAACTTTTCCATTCCTCTGTCGTCTCCGTTTCCAATTCCAACCTTCTCAGCATCATCTCTTCCATTACTTGAATCATCTTCCGATTTCCTAAACTCACTTACGGAACCGACTCCATCACCAACATTCGTTCCAATCCAATTTTGATTGCTTACCGAGCTATTCGCCCCGCTCTCTGCCTTCAACTCGGTCGCCTTCGAACTCGAATCAGCTCGAGTCACAGCCTTCGTAGTACTCGCGCTCGGCCTCTTCCGAATCGAGTGGCTTAGATCCGTCGTCGTCGTCGTCGTGCCTGCACTCTCCTGTGCATCCAATATCGCCATTGATACTCCTAAAGAGAGAGTTCGATAAAGCTCTTTAGAGAGCGAAAGTTCATACAAAAAATACAAATCTAAGAGAGAGAGAGAGAGAGAGAGAGATTTTGGGGAACTTTGGAGAAGTGATGTTTGTATATGGTGTAATTTATAGAGACGGTATGTGCATGTATGTATGTGTGTATGGTTGAATGTATGTATGGGAGGGAAGAGAAGAAAAGCGTGTGCTGTGTGAAGAGCGGTGAGGTGCGAGACGAAGCGACAAAAGTATCGTCTCAAAATTTGTCAAAGAGACGACTGGAAGTTTCCCTTCTGTTATTATATGGAGGTAAGAAGAGACGGTACGTACCAGACTGTCTAATGACGATAGACGTGTCATCGCACCATTATTTTCGGATCTTTTTTGATCCTATATAATATGAAGATAATTTCAAAATTGTTTTGAAATCGTAGTTTAAATTATATATTTATATTCATAATTGTTCGTGCTTAAAAATACAGTGTTACTCGTAAATTAGTTATAAATATTTAATCATATATAAATGTAAAGTAAAATACAACATTATAATAAATGACGAACAAAATGAGTCACTAATATTTTTTATAATATCAACCTACATGCATAGCATATATTTTCACGTTAAATTGTTCCATAACAAAAATTATGTTAGAACTATTTAAACATAATAATTCAAATATCTAAAAAATTATATCAGTTGACAATATTTAATATTTTGATTTTGATTCAAAATTCACGGTTTTAACATTTATAATTAAGTTTATCTAAATAATCACAGAATTTATAACTAATAAAATGAAAATTAAAATAATCCTCCCACAAATAAACTAAGTCTGCAGATGTTATCAAATGATCAAATATAACTATCAGAAATTCAACCGACTTCCAAAAGATACAACTTGATTATTGAATTTGTATGATTCGAGGTTATAGTAGTGTTTTTAATTTTATATCATTATTCTCGATTATTTATATTCTTAATATATTTTCTTAAATTAAACGTTAATTAGTATTTGATTATTTAATAAAAATTGTTACTTCGTGTTGTTCACTAAATATTAAATTTGTATGATTCATATTCATAGTATTGTTTATAATTTTGTATTATTTTTCTCGCTTATAATTTTGTATCATTTTTCTCGAGTATTTAGATTTGGATTATTTAATAAATATTGTTGCTTTGTGTTGTTTACTAAATATTGAATTTGTATGATTCTTGTTTGTATATGAATTTAATCTTGTATATTTTAAATATTAAACATATTTTCTTTAATATATATCTTGATATATGAGTTGCTCAATAATTTAAATTTAATCTTATATAATTTACATGTTAATCATATTTTCTTTGTTAAATTAGATTTTTTTGCAAGTTATACTTTTTTTTATTGATTATGGAAAAAACAAAATTGACTATTGAATTTGTATGATTCGATTTTATAATAATACTTTTAATTTTATATTATTTTTCTCAATTATTTATATTTTTAGTATATTTTCTTAAATTAAACGTTATTTAGTATTGGATTATTTAGTAAAGATTATTATTTCATGTTGTTCACTAAATATTAAATTTGTATGATTCGTATTCATAGTATTGCTTTATAATTTTATATTTTTTCTCTTGCTTATAATTTTGTATCATTTTTCTCGGGTATTTAGATTTGGATTATTTAGTAAATATTATTGTTTTGTGTTGCTCATTAAATATTGAATTTGTATAATTCGTGTTTGTATTTAAATTTATTCTTGTATATTTTAAATGTTAATCATATTTTATTTAATATATCTCTTGATATCTGAGTTGTCCAATAATTTAAATTTAATCTTGTATATTTTACATGTTAAGCATATTTTTTTGTTAAATTATATTTTTTGCAAGTTATGCTTTTTTTTATTATTGATTATGGAAAAAAAAATTGACTATTGAATTTGTTTGATTCGTGTTTGTAGTATTGCTTGAATGAAAGAGAGAGATACAGAAGAATATTTTCGTGATATATATTATCTATCTAATATTTATTATATAATTTTTCTTCATAGAAAGATACAGAGGAATATTTTTGTAATATACTATCTATCTACTAAGAGATGTAATATTTGCTTGAATCATACATTATCTAATATTTTTGTGAGATACAGAGAAAAATATTGTGAAAAATTGATATTTTTTGCATGAATTAAGCGTGAGAGAGATATAGAGGAATATGAGAGAGAGAGAGAGAGAGATTTGCTAAATGTAATTAAAAAATTTGAAAGAATTAAATTTTGGAACATCAATTTCTATAAATTTTGAACAACAAAAAAATTTCAAAGAGTTAATGTGGTACATCGAATCAAAACGATCTGCGACGTCAATAGGTCGAGACGGTTTGGGATAACATCATCCGTTAGATGATACTTTTTTTTTTTCACGAAACGATCAATGCCACTTTTTATCTCCAAAATTTAAATTCGTTCTACTTTATTTTATATATATATATATATATATCAACGTTTGTAAAAAACTTTTAATTTTTTATTTTTTCCCCAATTATTATTAAAAAGTCAATGATACACGCATATTAATTTAATTCAATTTTTATTTCTTGCACCTATTGACTTCTAAGTTCTTTTAGATTCTTTTATTAACCTTATTTGACTTCTAAATTCTTTATTAATTTTATCCAATTTTTTTTTCTTATACCTATTTGACTTCTAAATTCTTTTAGACTTTAACATTAATAGTATATATATTCTAAATTTTATTGGACTCATTTATTAGTAGTAAAGTTGCATAAGGTTTTCTATATTTATATCTATTTTTATATGAAGAAATAAAGTCCAATTATGTTCTATTATGAAATGAATNTTTCACGTTAAATTGTTCCATAACAAAAATTATGTTAGAACTATTTAAACATAATAATTCAAATATCTGAAAAATTATATCAGTTGACAATATTTAATATTTTGATTTTGATTCAAAATTCACGGTTTTAACATTTATAATTAAGTTTATCTAAATAATCACAGAATTTATAACTAATAAAATGAAAATTAAAATAATCCTCCCACAAATAAATTAAGTCTGCAGATGTTATCAAATGATCAAATATAACTATCAGAAATTCAACCGACTTCCAAAAGATACAACTTGAATATTGAATTTGTATGATTCGAGGTTATAGTAGTGTTTTTAATTTTATATCATTATTCTCGATTATTTATATTCTTAATATATTTTCTTAAATTAAACGTTAATTAGTATTTGATTATTTAATAAAAATTGTTACTTCGTGTTGTTCACTAAATATTAAATTTGTATGATTCATATTCATAGTATTGTTTATAATTTTGTATTGTTTCTCTCGCTTATAATTTTGTATCATTTTTCTCGAGTATTTAGATTTGGATTATTTAGTAAATATTGTTGCTTTGTGTTGTTTACTAAATATTGAATTTGTATGATTCTTGTTTGTATATGAATTTAATCTTGTATATTTTAAATATTAAACATATTTTCTTTAATATATATCTTGATATATGAGTTGCTCAATAATTTAAATTTAATCTTATATAATTTACATGTTAATCATATTTTCTTCGTTAAATTAGATTTTTTTGCAAGTTATACTTTTTTTTATTGATTATGGAAAAAACAAAATTGACTATTGAATTTGTATGATTCGATTTTATAATAATACTTTTAATTTTATATTATTTTTCTCAATTATTTATATTTTTAGTATATTTTCTTAAATTAAACGTTATTTAGTATTGGATTATTTAGTAAAGATTATTATTTCATGTTGTTCACTAAATATTAAATTTGTATGATTCGTGTTCATAGTATTGCTTTATAATTTTATATCTTTTCTCTTGCTTATAATTTTGTATCATTTTTCTCGGGTATTTAGATTTGGATTATTTAGTAAATATTATTATTTTGTGTCGCTCATTAAATATTGAATTTGTATAATTCGTGTTTGTATATAAATTTAATCTTGTATATTTTAAATGTTAATCATATTTTATTTAATATATCTCTTGATATCTGAGTTGTCCAATAATTTAAATTTAATCTTGTATATTTTACATGTTAAGCATATTTTTTTGTTAAATTATATTTTTTGCAAGTTATGCTTTTTTTTATTATTGATTATGGAAAAAAAAATTGACTATTGAATTTGTTTGATTCATGTTTGTAGTATTGCTTGAATGAAAGAGAGAGATACAGAAAAATATTTTCGTGATATATATTATCTATCTAATATTTATTATATAATTTTTCTTCATAGAGAGATACAGAGGAATATTTTTGTAATATACTATCTATCTACTAAGAGATGTAATATTTGCTTGAATCATTCATTGTCTAATATTTTTGTGAGATACAGAGGAAAATATTGTGAAAAATTTATATTTTTTGCATGAATTAAGCGTGAGAGAGATACAGAGGAATATGAGAAAGAGAGAGAGATTTGCTAAATGTAATTAAAAAATTTGAAAGAATTAAATTTTGGAACATCAATTTCTATAAATTTTGAACAACAAAAAAATTTCAAAGAGTTAATGTGGTACATCGAATCAAAACGATCTGCGACGTCAATAGGTCGAGACGGTTTGGGATAACATCATCCGTTAGATGATACTTTTTTTTTTTCACGAAACGATCAATGCCACTTTTTATCTCCAAAATTTAAATTCGTTCTACTTTATTTTATATATATATATATATATATCAACGTTTGTAAAAAACTTTTAATTTTTTATTTTTTCCCCAATTATTATTAAAAAGTCAATGATACACGCATATTAATTTAATTCAATTTTTATTTCTTGCACCTATTGACTTCTAAGTTCTTTTAGATTCTTTTATTAACCTTATTTGACTTCTAAATTCTTTATTAATTTTATCCAATTTTTTTTTCTTATACCTATTTGACTTCTAAATTCTTTTAGACTTTAACATTAATAGTATATATATTCTAAATTTTATTGGACTCATTTATTAGTAGTAAAGTTGCATAAGGTTTTCTATATTTATATCTATTTTTATATGAAGAAATAAAGTCCAATTATATTCTATTATGAAATGAATGTAGTTGTAAGATTGGATTCTATGATTAAATATGTCATATTTGATTTTTTTCATATACAACAATATCATATTATTATAATGTAAACAATAGTATTGTAATTTAATCAATTTCTTTGATAATAAATGTAATAAATTTGCAATATAATTAGATGTGCAAATATTCAATAATGATAATCTTATAATGAAACATTTAATCAAAAAATAAAATTGCCTAATGGGTCGTGGATATATCTAAACAAATGACAAATTAGACACTCAACATAGAGGTATAATAGATAACTAATTAGGTTTAACAATAATTAAAATAAAAATTAATTATTTCACACTTAATTTATCATTCAATTTAATTACATAAATAATTTAAATTTATTTAAAAAAATATGACTTAAATATATTCACGTGTAATGCACGTCGTGCATTACTAGTATAAAAAAGTATTTATAAACTCGCTTTTAAAGATTTTATTANTTTCACGAAACGATCAATGCCACTTTTTATCTCCAAAATTTAAATTCGTTCTACTTTATTTTATATATATATATATATATATCAACGTTTGTAAAAAACTTTTAATTTTTTATTTTTTCCCCAATTATTATTAAAAAGTCAATGATACACGCATATTAATTTAATTCAATTTTTATTTCTTGCACCTATTGACTTCTAAGTTCTTTTAGATTCTTTTATTAACCTTATTTGACTTCTAAATTCTTTATTAATTTTATCCAATTTTTTTTTCTTATACCTATTTGACTTCTAAATTCTTTTAGACTTTAACATTAATAGTATATATATTCTAAATTTTATTGGACTCATTTATTAGTAGTAAAGTTGCATAAGGTTTTCTATATTTATATCTATTTTTATATGAAGAAATAAAGTCCAATTATGTTCTATTATGAAATGAATTTAGTTGTAAGATTGGATTCTATGATTAAATATGTCATATTTGATTTTTTTTCATATACAACAATATCATATTATTATAATGTAAACAATAGTATTGTAATTTAATCAATTTCTTTGATAATAAATGTAATAAATTTGCAATATAATTAGATGTTCAAATATTCAATAATGATAATCTTATAATGAAACATTTAATCAAAAAATAAAATTGCCTAATGGGTCGTGGATATATCTAAACAAATGACAAATTAGACACTCAACATAGAGGTATAATAGATAACTAATTAGGTTTAACAATAATTAAAATAAAAATTAATTATTTCACACTTAATTTATCATTCAATTTAATTACATAAATAATTTAAATTTATTTAAAAAAATATGACTTAAATATATTCACGTGTAATGCACGTCGTGCATTACTAGTATAAAAAAGTATTTATAAACTCGCTTTTAAAGATTTTATTAGACATGTATTTTGCAAATAAGTTTTCATATTGAAAAACATAAATTTGGACCACATTTTATAAAAATAGTAACAAATTAGAAAATATAATGCCCAAGAAATAAAATGAAAAACTCATGAAAGAGTAGTTTAAAAAATTGAGGGTACATGTGAAAAATATGCTAGGTCTTGTCTATTTTTCATTTTCATAGTATTATGCATTTAATATTTTTGGATTAAAATATTTCAACAAATGACAGTGGTCGTCGGTATAAATTTACAATAAATATTGCGTGTATATGAAACAATTATAGTTCAACGTCAAGTGTTTCAACTTTTGAGATATAAATATTAGGCGTGATGACCCATGATCGGGTGCCCATCCAACCTTGACTNTATTAGTAGTAAAGTTGCATAAGGTTTTCTATATTTATATCTATTTTTATATGAAGAAATAAAGTCCAATTATGTTCTATTATGAAATGAATTTAGTTGTAAGATTGGATTCTATGATTAAATATGTCATATTTGATTTTTTTTCATATACAACAATATCATATTATTATAATGTAAACAATAGTATTGTAATTTAATCAATTTCTTTGATAATAAATGTAATAAATTTGCAATATAATTAGATGTGCAAATATTCAATAATGATAATCTTATAATGAAACATTTAATCAAAAAATAAAATTGCCTAATGGGTCGTGGATATATCTAAACAAATGACAAATTAGACACTCAACATAGAGGTATAATAGATAACTAATTAGGTTTAACAATAATTAAAATAAAAATTAATTATTTCACACTTAATTTATCATTCAATTTAATTACATAAATAATTTAAATTTATTTAAAAAAATATGACTTAAATATATTCACGTGTAATGCACGTCGTGCATTACTAGTATAAAAAAGTATTTATAAACTCGCTTTTAAAGATTTTATTAGACATGTATTTTGCAAATAAGTTTTCATATTGAAAAACATAAATTTGGACCACATTTTATAAAAATAGTAACAAATTAGAAAATATAATGCCCAAGAAATAAAATGAAAAACTCATGAAAGAGTAGTTTAAAAAATTGAGGGTACATGTGAAAAATATGCTAGGTCTTGTCTATTTTTCATTTTCATAGTATTATGCATTTAATATTTTTGGATTAAAATATTTCAACAAATGACAGTGGTCGTCGGTATAAATTTACAATAAATATTGCGTGTATATGAAACAATTATAGTTCAACGTCAAGTGTTTCAACTTTTGAGATATAAATATTAGGCGTGATGACCCATGATCGGGTGCCCATCCAACCTTGACTAATGCAGGATTGAGTCACCGGTCACATAATAATAATTCTTTCCTCTCGCCGTCCCTGTCCCTGTCCCTATCCCCCTCCCCCAGTTATGGGCATTATTAACTCATGAAGCATATCTCTAGATTATGCNTTAATGCAGGATTGAGTCACCGGTCACATAATAATAATTCTTTCCTCTCGCCGTCCCTGTCCCTGTCCCCCTCCCCCTCCCCCTCCCCCAGTTATGGGCATTATTAACTCATGAAGCATATCTCTAGATTATGCTGTCAAATTGATCCGTATATTCACATGGTAAAATAATAATCAACTAGCTTAGCCATTAAGAAAGCTTTGGACTTGGAAAAGAATCTAAAATAATGACGCACCACGAGGCAGTATTGTCATTTGTCAAGTCAAATTGTTGGGACTGCATGCAGCCCAAATCGGGCAAGAAATTCTGTCCAAGGCTAGATGATATAGATAAGGCGACCTCCTCACCCCGGGGGAACAAGGATGAGAATCAAGCTCAGGTAGGTGGGGGCTAGCCATGAGAACCTTTGTTATGAGAATGTGTGAACTCAACAATAAAAAATGCTCCAGAATGACCCAAGCAACATTATAATCGTGACAATGAAACTAGGAAGAGGAGCCATTTATCATTCAACTTGATGCTTTCTGTTGGATTTTTGTACTTNCCCTCACCGCAGGGGAATAAGGATGAGAATCAAGCTCAGGTAGGTGGGGGCCAGCCATGAGAACCTTTGTTATGAGAATGTGTGAACTCAACAATAAAAAATGCTCCAGAATGACCCAAGCAACATTATAATTGTGACAATGAAAGTAGGAAGAGGAGCCATTTATCATTCAACTTGATGCTTTCTGTTGGATTTTTGTACTTGAAATCAATATACTCAGTGGTCAATAGGCTATACATTAGGCCGAATGTGAAAAAAACAATGGAATCACTCTATAAGGATGTTGGCCAAAAATAATATTGGTCAATGTAAGTAGCTTCCGGTGAGCTAATGATCTTGGTCAATATTAAACCGAGCCGGAATTAAACCTCATCCCTGCTGAAAAGATGAATCAATTCCCGTCCAGGCAGTGTCTCCTAGCAACACAATTGGGAACAACCAAGCAAGCTAGACTCCTCTGGGCAAAAAAACAGGACACACATGATACAAACCTTAGTTGCAAGAAATTTTACAGCAGANTTCCCGTCCAGGCAGTGTCTCCTAGCAACACAATTGGGAACAACCAAGCAAGCTAGACTCCTCTGAGCAAAAAAACAGGACACACATGATACAAACCTTAGTTGCAAGAAATTTTACAGCAGACACTCGTCACCAACTGGGACTTGATGGATTACACATTACCAATGAGCAGTACTTATAAGTTATATCAAACAATCATCAGATAACATCTTAAATTCAGGTGCTACACCTATTAAACAGAACAGGGGCAAAAGCAAAATAAATAAGTCCACAACATATAAAAATTTGTTTACCTTTCTCACTAATAATAAGAAAGTAAAAACTTGTCAGAGGAGATCAGCAACATTTGATGGCAGCTCTTCAACTACCACATTGTAAAACTTCTGGATGTCAAACAGCATTCTTTCATCGTCCTTGGTCACAAAATTGATGGCAACACCCTTCCTTCCAAACCGTCCACTACGTCCAATACGGTGGAGATAGTTCTCGGGTTGAGTAGGAAGATCATAGTTTATAACAAGGGAGACTTGCTGAACATCAATACCCCTGGCCAACAGATCAGTGGTTATCAGAACACGAGAGGACCCAGAACGGAATTCACGCATGATAATATCCCTGGTGTTCTGGTCCATGTCTCCATGGGTGGCTGAGACTGTGTGGTCTCGACTGCGCATCTTGTCTGTTAGCCAGTCAACCTTACGTCTTGTGTTCACAAATATGACACTCTGGGTGATGGCTAAGGTTTCATAAAGATCACAGAGTGTCTCAAGCTTCCAATCCTCCTTTTCAACATTGACATAAAACTGCTTTATACCTTCTAGGGTGAGCTCATCACGCTTCACGAGAATTCTCACCGGTTTGTTCATAAACTTCCTTGTGATCTCAAGGGCCTCAGGAGGCATTGTAGCAGAGAAAACCCCGACTTGAACTTTTGAAGGCAAGAGCTGGAATATGTCATATATCTGGACGGGACACAATCAATTAATTTACCATTAGAACTAGTGTAAATAATTAGTGGGAAGAAATTCTTACAATTCGGATGGCATTATTATCAGATCTAGACATCTGGGATATTATGACAGATTTAAGTAAAGAAGCTCAGAAACCAAGAGCTATGACAGAATTCAGGGTGCTGGAGAAGCTGACAAAAAAGAAAAAGATATATAAAAGGGTTTGGACAGTGCTGACTGCAGCTTAGTGAGTGTGATGTTTTCCCTTTTTCTTTTTCTTTTTTAAAACCTCCTTTGGACTGGAAAATGTGATGTTNGTTTGGACAGTGCTGACTGCAGCTTAGTGAGTGTGATGTTTCCTTTTCCCTTTTTCTTTTTCTTTTTTAAAACCTCCTTTGGACTGGAAAATGTGATGTTGACGAATGATCTCCTATAAGTGGGGGTACAAAAGTAAACAAGGCTGTCCAATGTAGTGCTTGAAAGGTGGAAAATAACAATGTTCTTCCAGTGATAATTATGTTCCAAAGATCAGAGCAAGAGTGGTATGAAGCACCGTCACAACTTAAAGTTTAGGGGTAATTCAGGTTTGAGTTAAGTATAATCAAATAAACAAGATGCTCCTAGCTAAACCAAAAGCCAAGTCCCAGTTATATCATACAACATCATGTTTTCCCTTCTTCCTAATTTAACCAATTTGCAATCCCTTCTCCATTCTCTAGGTCCACTGCAACCTTCAGCCTGCAGTCCTGGACCATATCAATCCTCATCAAACACATGACCTAAGCATTTTAATCCCATAGATGAACTTAAAAAATTAGATTCTATAATTCCTTCCCCTCCTCATTCATAGAGTTCACAAAATCTGGTCATAGGATGCCATTACTTTTCTCTTCTGCTGGGTTACACATAAGATACTTATTGAAAAGACATGATGAAGGACTAGATGAAATGCCAAGCACATAGCTACAAAAATGTGTGTGTTTTTTTTTTTTTTGGGGGGGGGGGGTTGTTAAAGAAATACCTGGTCCTTGAAACCTCGAGAAAGCATTTCATCTGCCTCATCCAATACAAACATCTTAATGCAATCAGGACGAAGAGACTGTCTTCTAAGCATGTCAAACACACGCCCAGGAGTTCCAACAACAACATGTACCCCACTTGAGAGAATGCGTTGGTCCTCACGAACACTAGTTCCACCCACACAAGCATGTACCTTCACACCAAGGTAGTCCCCGAGTGCACGCATAACCTTCTCAATCTGTTGTGCGAGCTCACGAGTAGGTGCCAAAACCAAAGCTTGGCATTCGACCAAACCATAGTCAAGCTGTTGAAGGACACCAGAGCAGAAAGTTGCAGTTTTCCCAGTTCCAGATTGAGCTTGTTGAATTACATCAAGGCCCTTGCAGAAAGGAACTATTCCCCTTTGCTGAATTGCTGAGGGTTTTTCAAAACCTACATAGGATCAACCAGTAAAACAATGACAAGTATGCAAAAGCAATACTTCAAATGCATCAATGCACAATGTTGCACTTCTACAGCCATCGATACCATATTGAACATATGTACAAGATATAAGCCACCTCTATCCTCAATAAGCTCTTGTCACAATCAGAATTTACAAGCCGACTTACGAAAGCACAGCTAGAAATTTTGGAAAACACAGCAATTGGTCACACACTAAAAAGGTAAGTCAAAGCTTCAGCGCAGTCAGACTGAAATTTTTGTAAAAAGCCATATTTGGTCATGGAGGAAAAATAAAAAGGTAAAGCAATGCCACAGCACACATATCCAATGGTCAAAAAATGGTGGAAACAATAGATATACCATATGCATAAATGCCCCTCAGAAGATTCTCTTGCAATCCCATGGCATCAAAACTATCATAAACCTCATCATATGATGTAAAGAAATCTTGCCCATCAGCTGAAAGTCTGATTTACAAATAAGAAAAACAATTAGCATGAAAACTACAAACACAAAAATAATAAACAAATAAAATCTGTCTATAAAGTTAGAAGTGTTCATATTAAAGGAGCAAAAAACATGAGCAGAAACCCATCAAACCTCTCATTATAGCCAATGCCTGAATGAAGGGTTTTGAAAAGCAAATAACTAGTGCTAGAGAGAAGTTCTTACAACTCATTCATTTTGGTATCAAATTGACGAGCATCAAATTGTGATCCCTCTGGTGCGGCACCTGCCATGACTGGAAAAAAATGGACAATCATTAATGAGCTGAACTCATACAGCTCCAAAAATAAAGTAAAAACGCATTGCATGTTTGTATTCACAAGCATGAGAGAGTGAGATAGAGAGAGAGAGAGGGAGGGAGTCTAAAATCTAATTCCCAACTCAGTCAGTAGACACTACACAGGCTGATGGGAGTTTTCCCTCCATTTCGGTGGAGGTTGTACATGCGTACCCTTGGATCACATCTAGACAAAATAGAAGCATAGCGTCGGGGTGGAAAAATATGGGTACATTTTTTTAAAAAAAAAATTCTTCTGGGTAGGAAACTTGAATTTCATTCCTTTGAAGAAATTGGTGGGCTTCCTCACGAAAGCGAGTGTGTTTACAGAACATATTATAACCTGAAATTTTTTTCTTTTTCCATCAATTTGAACCCTACTCGCACTAAATATAACTCATCTAGTGTTTATCAAATAATCCAGCCAACTGCTCCTATTAATTATTTCCAAAATTGACGTTCAACTCTATTCAATCGAGCTTCAATGAGCCAAAAACTGCTTTACCAAAAGCCAGATGCTTCCCCCGCCACCCGTTCCTTTTTTGTTTGTTTTTGTTTAATTTGACATAAAAGCAGGGCAATTTCAAAACCCAATACTGAATTAGTTTCACGAACTCAATTGTCTTCTTATGGTACCAAAAGCATAAAAAATTCTACCTCCAACGCACAACACAGGCCCAAATATTCATCCCAAAAAACTTAATCATCGAACAGAATAGAAGTTGAATACAAACATATGCAAAATTCATTGATAGAGTTACACTAAAACTGATATAAAAATAGGGACTTGATTGCCACAAACAACATAACAGTCAAGATAACATCAAGTCACAATAAATCGCATAAAACAAAAGCAAATAATTTCAACAAGCAACCAAAAAGGACAATCAAGACAGAAAATACATATTAAAATTCAGATCGATGAAAAGGGTAAAGAAAATACCTGAATAAGAAGATGATGATGACGTTAATATCGAAGAGAGAGAAAGCGCTGTCAGGATTTGAGATGAAGTTTTTAAGGGTGTTCCCAAACTCCTCGGATCTACGCCGTGGAGTTGAGAATTGGTTTGGAGAGCGAGAGATGCTTAGGAGTGGGGCGGCGAGGGTTCTATGGGAGTGTTATGTATCTACAAGTGTCCACTTTCTTTGGTTTTACGAATTTGCCCCTGGGTTTCACTACGTTTTTGGACAAATTACGATGACACCCCTTATTGTTTTTGATATTTTCAGTTTACTCTCAATTGTTTATAAAATTACATTGACATCTCTCACCAGTAGGTCTATCAGAAACTGGATCTCAGTTCAAATCTGAATTCTTTAACCGGATATGGACTAATCGTTTCATCAATTTTTCCAAAGTCAGTCCAAAATTCATTTAAATATCTTAAATTGGATATGGATATATATAAATCGAGTAATCAGAACGAATGTCTAATTATAAGCGTATTTGAATATGGGCTAATATTTTTATATCTGTCAGGCAAATAGATTGAATAACAATTTTTTAAATCAAATTTAGATTCGGATGGACCCCGATCCAATCTGAATCTGATTTTTTGACAATCCCACTCACCATTGTGTTTTTTTTAACTAGTCTCACAGGGGGGTGAAGTCAAAAGTTTTTTGTAGTGGGGATAACTTATTACTTATTCATAAGTTCAAACCATAATGACAATCAATCAATTGAAATAATTTATTTTGAAATTTAATTTATTACAGTCAAGTTTCAAATACCATAATCTAATTTTCAAGAAAGTAAATATTAAGAATTCAATTAACGCGAGAGAAAATTGAAGAGAAAGGCTAAATGACAATCATAAAACTCGTCGTGATTTCACAAATAGATTTTGAATGATAATATTTATTGTGTAACAAAAAAAAAAAGAGAATTAGAGATAAAAGACAAACTAAGACACGGTGACAACATTGAATCGTATGAAAGAAGATTAAGTCTAAATTTTTAAATTAATAAAAAAATCCAAATTTTTACTAAAATATAAAGAATAGTACTATTGAGATCTAAAATTATATCCTAAATTATTAACCTAATGAAGTGATGTAAAGTTTATTTGATCAAATAAATTAATCAAACCCTAATTCCAAGATCTAGAACAATCATGATTTTCACATATTCATATTGCGGAATTAAAAACGTCATAATTTACATTCCTGAAGCCATTGATGTAAACCTTTGTGATTCTTGAACAAGAATAACAGTATTTGGTGTAGCCTGAAAATGCAGTTTCTCTCTCCTAACCTTTTAACGTATGATACACAAATCAATGGGGCAAGTGCACATTTATAAGTAGAGATATTAGGAAACTACTACTTCTCTTTGACCAATCAGAAACCATCAGTTACCTGGTTAGTTTGGGATTGACAATCATATCATTATCTTGACCCAACCAATTCACTAATTAATTAGTCATCAATTAATATCACATGTGCCAAAAATCATGTGGGCCACATTTAAGTCTTACATTCTCCCACTTGGCTCATATGATTATCTTACAGTTGGGTCTAGTAAGATTAACATATGCGCGCATTAAATCCAATCCGCCACTCCTTAATTTGGTCATCATAATATCATAATTAAACAAATCACTAGTGTGAGTCAGGGCAGTCGTACATCATTAACACGACATATTCCCTTCCATGTACCACAACACTAGTAACTTGTCTAACATGATCTATAAGTGAGAAGTGTATATAAAAGAGGTCCAACAATAATGCCTTCTGCCAAAGGCTATTCCTATTATTATTCATCCAATTCTAACATATGTACGTACATAATGGAAACAAGAAATATCATAAAACACATTANCTGCCAAAGGCTATTCCAATTATTATTCATCCAATTCTAACATATGTACGTACATAATGGAAACAAGAAATATCATAAAACACATTAAAATTAAAAGTGTCGTAACAAATAATCCAACATCAAGTAAACATCATGGGTTATATTCAAGAACCATTCTGTTAACATGTTCCTTAAATGTCTTTGGTGATAACCCTTTTGTTAATGGATCTGCAATCATGAGCTCTGTGCTAATGTGCTCTATAGACACTCGTTTCTTTTGAACTTCCTCCTTAACGGTAAAGTATTTCAATTCCATATGTTTGGCACCTTTAGAATACTTGTCGTTCTTGGAGAAAAACACTGTTGTGGAGTTATCACAATAAATTCTCAACGGTTTCACAATAGTGTCGACAATTTTAGGTCCTGAGATAAAATTCCGCAACCACAATACATGAACTGTAGCCTCAAAGCATGCCACAAATTCAACTTTCATTGTAGATGAAGCTATGACAGTTTGCTTCGCACTTTTCCATGAGATTGCCTCTCCAGCTAGAAGGAACAAATAGCCAAAAGTGGACTTTCTACTATCTATACATCCGGTAAAATCCGAATCTGAGTAGCCAATAACCTCTAGATGATCAGACCTTCTAAATGTGAGCATATATTCCTTTGTTCCTTTCAAGTACCTCATCACTTTCTTTGCAGCCTTCCAATGATCCATTCCAGGATTACTTTGGTATTTCCCTAACATACCAAATGCAAAACTAATGTCTAGCCTAGTGCAGGTCTATGCATACATTAGGCTTCCTACTGCAGAAGCATAAGGAATCCTTTCCATTTCTTTACGTTCCCATTCATTCTTTGGGTATTGCATAAGGCTGAATTTATCCCTTTTCTGAATTGGGGCAACACTATCTGAACAATTCTTTATATTGAATCTCTCTAGAACTCTATCAATATATGCTTTCTGAGACANTCCTAACATACCAAATGCAAAACTAATGTTTGGCCTAGTGCAGGTCTATGCATACATTAGGCTTCCTACTGCAGAAGCATAAGGAATCCTTTCCATTTCTTTACGTTCCCATTCATTCTTTGGGTATTGCATAAGGCTGAATTTATCCCTTTTCTGAATTGGGGCAACACTATCTGAACAATTCTTTATATTGAATCTCTCTAGAACTCTATCAATATATGCTTTCTGAGACAATCCCAACAATCCACTTGATCGATCACGGAATATTTTAATTCCTATCACGTAGGTTGCCTCACCCATATCTTTCATTTCAAAATTCCTAGAGAGAAATTTCTTGGTGTCAGGCAATAATCCAAGATCANCTATATTGAATCTCTCTAGAACTCTATCAATATATGTTTTCTGAGACAATCCCAACAATCCACTTGATCGATCACGGAATATTTTAATTCATATCACGTAGGTTGCCTCACCCATATCTTTCATTTCAAAATTCCTAGAGAGAAATTTCTTGGTGTCAGGCAATAATCCAAGATCACTACTAGCAATCAATATATCATCAACATATAGAATCAAAAATATAAACTTACTCCCACTGACCTTCAGATATATACACCGATCAACGGTGTTTTCTGTAAAACTAAAGGAAGTAATGGTATCATTAAAATTAAGGTACCATTGTCGAGAAACTTGTTTTAGTCCATATATTGACTTCTTAAGTTTGCAAACCATGTGCTCTTTTCCCTTAGTGGAGAATCCTTCAGGTTGATCCATATAGACTTCTTCCTCTAAACTTCCATTTAGAAAAGNAAAACTAAAGGAAGTAATGGTATCATTAAACTTAAGGTACCATTGTCGAGAAACTTGTTTAAGTTCATATATTGACTTCTTAAGTTTGCAAACCATGTGCTCTTTTCCCTTAGTGGAGAATCCTTCAGGTTGATCCATATAGACTTCTTCCTCTAAACTTCCATTTAGAAAAGTAGTTTTCACATTCATTTGGTGTAACTCCAAATCATAATGGGCCACCAATGTCATAATAATTCTAAGTGAGTCCTTCTTGGATACTGGAGAGAAGGTCTCTTTATAATCAACGCCTCATTTCTGAGTGAAACCTTTGGCCACAAGTCTAGCTTTATGTCGTTTGATATTGCCATTGGAGTCGCGTTTGGTCTTAAAGACCCATTTACACCCAACTTTCTTAAATCCTTCAGGCAATTCTACTAGGTCCGAGACTTCATTCTGTTCCATTGATTTCAATTCATCATTCATAGCATCAATCCATTTAGCAGAATCATCACTTTCCATGGCTTGTGAAATGAAACCGAATCTTTATTTGTCCCTATATCAAAGTCAGATTATTGTAGATATATCACACAATCATCTGGAATAGTTGGTCTTCTTTCTCTTTGAGACCGTCTTAATGCTACCCCTTGTGATTCTTCTACTATCGGTTCAATGGTGACAACCTCATTATGGAGTGGTTGATCATTTAATTGTTGTTCAATGTTGTCATATTGTACAACAACTGTAGGAACAACAATATCATTAGAAGTTATGGGTGATGGGACTTTTTCCCTAACTTCTTCAATATTCACATTTCGTGATTTATCACTCCCACTAGTTTCACCATTCTCAATGAATCCGGCATTACCGGTTTCAACAATTCTTGTACTATGGGTAGGACATTAAAACCTATATCCTTTGAATTTTTCTGGATAACCAATAAAGTAACATCTAATTGTTCTAAAATCCAATTTCTTTTCTTGCGGATTATAAATCCTAGCNTCTAACTTCTTCAATATTCACATTTCGTGATTTATCACTCCCACTAGTTTCACCATTCTCAATGAATCCGACATTGCCGGTTTCAACAATTCTTGTACTATGGGTAGGACATTAAAACCTATATCCTTTGAATTTTTCTGGATAACCAATAAAGTAACATCTAATTGTTCTAAAATCCAATTTCTTTTCTTGCGGATTATAAATCCTAGCCTCTATTGGATAACTCCAAACATGCAGGTGTTTTAAACTCGGTTTTCTTCCTGTCCACAGTTCAAAAGGAGTGTTTGAAACTGCCTTACTAGGAACTCGGTTTAATAAATAGACAAAGGTCTTAAGAGCTTCCATCCACAAAGATAAGGGTAATGAGGAATTACTTAACATGCTCCTAACCATATCCATTAAAGTACAGTTACGCCTTTTAGCTACACCATTCTGCTATGGCGTACCAGACATAGTGTATTGTGCACAANCTGGATAACTCCAAACATGCAGGTGTTTTAAACTCGGTTTCCTTCCTGTCCACAGTTCAA